GTCCTCCCGGGAACCGAAGGAGGTTTCGAGGGGGGAGTCGGGGCACGTCAGCGCCCGGTGGAGCGGGTGCGGGCAAAGCGGGGTTCCCGGGAGGGGCAGAAGGGGGTCTGCGCTTGCCGCCCTAGCGCTCCCTGCCGCAGCTTCCTTCCGAGCAGTTCTCCCCGCCGTGTCGGTCTGTCCCAGCCGCTCTGCTTTCTCCAGGGAAGAGGAGGCAGCGGACCTTGCCTAGCACTGCAGGCGTTCGTGTACTTCAGCTGGAGCCCCGTTCGGCCATCCTGTTCTCTTCTGCCGCCTTGTCCCGCACCAAGGTGCTGCCTGATCACTGGCACCATAATAATCCAGCCCTGAGACCTATAGGAACAGCTGCCTATAGAAACTGTTCTTCCCTGCTGCACGTTGCCCCCTTGGCACACAGTGGGAAGGAGAGTGTGGTCTCATTCATCTCTGCCAAAGGTTGTCCCTGATGCCTTTAGGTGGCAGAGAATTGCCCTCTGAGCGTGCCTTGCTTCTGCATTTTGAAGACCTTCACCTAGAGGAAGTGACTCTGTCTCTGTGGGCATGTACAGCGCTTAAACCTAGGCTTTTTCTGTAGGTGAATGTGCCAAATTGTCATCTCTTTGGATTTGGCCAATATTTTGCTGCTTTGAACGTCCGCTAAGTGCATTCATATTTGATCAGTTGTGTGGTGTAGGGTCTCCAAAGTCCCAGTCCCTTACTGATAGGTGAAGGAACTGGCATTGTTGGTCCTGGTTGTGCTGGTGCAGTGCACGTTAACTCTTGCCATGCTGCATTGCCAAGCACAGTCCGGTGTGTCTTGAAACCCAAGCAGTGTGAGCAAGGCAGGAAAGTCCCAGGGCTGCTCAAGAGCTCCTGTCTTACAGCCGTGCTTCCTCCCCTCCTGGCGTCATGTCTTTCAGAGGAATCTGCCTCTTGAAAAGGTGTTTCAGGTGGCATCAGACCGGATTTAGAAAAGACCTTTTCAATGTTGACTTCACTAAACTGTTGTCAGTCATGCCAAGAGCTCTCTGCGTTCCTCTTCCCATCCCCATCTCTTTTGCCCCCAAGGAGTGCTGAATTTTTAGGCTGCCAGACTAGTATCTTCTAGCCCTGCTTTGCTGCTGAGGAATGGTGATTTTTGGACGCACCACGAGCAGGCTGGCTGGAATTTGGTTTGTGCTTAGTGGAGAGGTTACGGGGTAAGAAAAGGAACGGAGGGTCAGCGGCTTCTCATAGACGTAATGATATTGAGAACATGGCTTTGTAATTTGAGGCGCTGGGACATGAGAGGTATGAGGTGGCGAGCAGAGTGCTTGGCCAGGAATTAATCTGAGAGGCAGGAAGGAGTGAAACTTGACTGAGAGTTGGGAGTTAAGTGTCTAACCTTTTTGCAGGCTGCGGATACCTTGGCTGTGAGACAGAAGCGACGGATCTACGATATCACGAATGTCCTGGAAGGCATTGGGTTGATCGAGAAGAAATCCAAGAACAGTATCCAGTGGAAGTGAGTGACAGGGAAGGTCTAAATCGTTCACGGGTCCCTTCTAGTTCAGGTCTAAGTGACACTGGGGTTAAAATGCCCTGCTGAGAGCGAGGTTCCTGAGTGGGCTGTGCATGCTTGTGCTTCCCCAGCTGGGCTATGCTTATGGTAGTGACGAGGAAAGCTGAAGTAGGTATGGCATGTCTCTCTTATAGCGTAGCTAGTATTTTGATACAAACTTTCCAGCACTTTGGGCTAGAAAAGATGCCCGTCATGGCGCTGGAGATGGGGGAGAGCCCTGCCAGTCTGCGGGATGTAGGAAGATGTACCAATCGTTGCAGTGCTGGAAGGTGGGGACCTAGAGTGGGCAGAAATTAGGCTCTGGCATTCACGTGTGACAGGGGTGGCAATAAGGGAGGTGGCAGCCTCTCCAAGAAGTTGGGGCTGGTCTGGGCACCTGCAGAGGCTGATGAATGTCACTCCTTTTACTTTGCCCAGAGGGGTGGGCCCTGGCTGCAACACGCGTGAAATAGCTCACAAGCTTATTGAGCTGAAGGCAGACATAGAGGACCTGGAGCAGCGGGAACAGGAACTGGAGCAGCAGAAGATGAGCAGAGCATCAAAAACGTGACAGAAGACGTGCAGAACAGTCGATATCCTTTGTGTGAACTGATTACTCTGTCTCCATGTTTGCTTGCTGGGCTGGAAAGCAGAGACCTGAGGGCTGGGTTGGTGCTGCCCTGCTCAGGGCAGAGGGGTGGTGGTGACCTGTTGCTGCTAGAGGAGCTAAACTGAAAGGGTCAGGAGGCAGTGCCTGGCTTTGAAATTAGGGTAACTCTGTCCAGCATGGGAACCAGCTTTCTCTGTGATGCATGGCTTTTTGAAGTCAAAACCACTGTAATGTTTACCATGATGAGAAAAGTGCTCCTCTCAGAGTCACAGGTGCCACTTTCTTGAGTGTAGAGCTGCTCTTGTGGCTTGCCTGTTGTCGGATGTCAGCTCTGACGAGTCTGGAGCTTGCAGACCTCGCTTGCAGCCCACAGTTCGGTGTGGCGTGGAGAACCTTCTGGGAATGGCATTTCCTGTGCTCAGGAAGGAAGCGCCAGGTGCCCTTTGAGTTCTCTGTCTGCGCAGGGAGCTGCAGTCTTTCTCCTTAACCTGGGGAACATTAGCCTATGTGACACATGAAGATATCTGCAAGTGCTTCACAGGTAAGGAGATGGTGCTCCATCATAAAGGTGCGATGCTGCAGTCCTATCGGTCTGTCCTTCCTCCAAGAAGGAGAAGGCAGCGGACCACGAGCTGCCTGACAGCATCAAGTTAAATGTAGCGTGAGCTCTGATGCCATCCTGGGTTTGTGTACCAGTGAGTTGTGGCTTCATTGACACCGTTGGAGGCGGCAGGTGGTTTCTTGTGTTTCAAGGAACGTAGCTGCTGTTCCTGAGGAAGCCTTTTTGCCAAGTGTCACTGCATGGGTGTGTTGTGTTAAAGCCCTTGATTTTAAGGGCTTGGGTGGACAATATTGTAATAATAGGAAGCAAATTTTATTGCATGGTAGAAATCTGGGTGTAAGCAGGAAAATAGCACCAAAAATGGTCCCTCAGCTGCATCATGCCCTCTGCCAACAAGGATGCAAGCGGGAGGTAATGAGGAGCAGGGCAGAAGGGAACACGCTGCCTGCTGTGACTCACTGCCTTGCATACAGCCTTCCTAAAGCTGTGAGGTGCCTGGATAAAAAGCTGTGTGTTCTGTCTCCGTGGGGCAAAAGTGAAGAAAACCCACAGGAGTCTCTGTTTCTTCTCTGCTGTCAATTTTAATAGCTGTAGAACAAAAAAAAAAATTTAAAAAACCCCCGGTGGCCAGCATGCAATACGGCAGCCTGCAGTACAGAAACTGTTCTCAGTTGTAGCGGTGTGGAGTCGCAGCATCTTTCTGCTTCGGCGCGCACCCAACCTCTCCTGACCCTGGGCAACCTGCATCTGCTTGTTTGCAGCAGAGATTGAAGCTAATTATCCTGACCTCCCCTAGCCATGCGTAACCTCACCCTTGTCTGACTCTCTCCTCTCTTCCAAGCACCATTCTCACCTTACGATTCATCAGCTCTTCTATTTTTCATCTTTGCCTTGCGTGCGTTCCTTGTTCACGGGGCTTCACTGTGCTCAAGTTCCTGCTGGTAACTTGTGAGTCACCGCCCCCTTTGCTTCACTGTTTCTTCTGATTTAAGCTAGCACTTTTTGGGGGCAGGGATTGTGTTTTCAATTTGACAGTGCTTGGGGCCAGATAACTCGTAACAGTCTGGAAGAGTTTACTGGAGACCAGCAGACAGCTTATTGCTTGGTTGATTGAGTGTTTTGCATTTCGTTGCACCTGTTTTTGTAAACTGGTTTGCATCTGCAGTCAGACCTCACCAAAATGCGCAGAGGTTAGATCAAAGAATACATTAGTTTTTAGTGACTGGGAAACATAATTTTCCCATCTGTTGCTGGTATGCGTTTTGCACTTGCGGAATCAAAAGGGAAGTGGGAATGCGCCGCATGCTGTTTTGTAAAAGTATTTGGGACGCAGCTATCAAGGGAGACAGAAACACAGCACCTGTGTTTGAAACTAACAGGTCTTAAAGCTCAAGCTTGTGACTGTGAGCTTTATTATGCATTTTTAATGTCTCATAGCATACTTAAATGCGGATTTGTTAAAGGAATTCCACCTTATTGACAAATCCTGTGGGAATTTTAATCCCTGTACCCTTTGCTGATGTGACTTTTGATTGCCTGCCTGAAATTAAAGGATGTGCTCTTCTGCTGTCCACTGTCTCATTGCTCTGGGCATCTTCTGTGTTAATTATCGAGTGAAGCTTAATGCAGAATACTGGTGAAGTGTAAATAGTAACCACGCTAAAGCTTAAACATTCAAACTGAAAGCTGCTAACTGCTTGGTTTGAATATGTCTAATGTTCACAGCGCTGGTGTTTCTCTAAACTCTGATATGGACTGGAAGCTGCTCACCTGTGACTGTTATTAGGGGCACAGTTCTTAAGGAGCTGCAGGACTTGAAGAGGAAGGATGCTGTGAGCCTGGCTACTAGCCCCACGTGTTGGGCTCTGTGCAGGGCACAATACAGCTAGCACCAGGCAGCTCTCTTGCCAGTAGAGACTGGGGAGTGTTGGTTTCAGGTATTTGTACTCCAGCATGAGGTTGCCATGCTGCTGGCAGCCTGGCTCCTGAGCCTAGTTTGACACTGTCTCTCCACTGGCAGCGAGTTGTATGCTCTTTTGTTTATAATTCACATCTAAAAGCTTGTGACAGCAGGATGAAGGATCCTTCCCTTAGGATTCAGGTCTTCTTAATTAAGCCAGACCCTCTGAGGGAAAGAAAGGGTGATCCTGTTAAGGATGCTGCTAAAAAACTTCAGGGTTGCTTTGTGAGAAACTTCACATGTTCTTTGTGCCCTGGGCAATGGGCGCTTTGAGATCCCTATGGTATGCTTAGCAGCTCAGATGGGTGTAAATGGCAGGCCTTCAGGGAAGGGAGCACAGGAGACAGGGGGCTTTGAGGAGGGGCTCTTAATCAGTGCTTAATGATCATCAGAACAGCTTGTGCCTGCTGAGTGCTGACCAGTCTGGTTTTGCAGGAGACACCCTCCTTGCGATTCGAGCCCCGTCAGGCACGCGTTTGGAGGTTCCTATCCCTGAGGTGAGTGATAAATGTGTGGGTGTCCCTGAGGTGAGTGATAAATGTGTAGGCAGAGTGCGAGGGGGGTGTGGGGGGTGTGGGGGGTGTGTGCATGTGTCAGTGTGTGTCACTGGGTTGACCAAGCTGGGAGTTGGCAGTCAGGGCATTTGAGGGGCATCGGAGGAACCGGTAACCCAAGGAAGGCTCCAGGTATTAGATGATTGCCGGGAAATTCTGTTATTTGGAAGTACGTGAATAATTGCAGGAGCACCAGGGGAGAGGATAGTCCTGGGAGTCAGGGGAATTGTGTGCAGGACTGTCTGGACAGCATGTCTTGCCTCTGGGAAATCCCTGTTCTGTTTGAAAAGGGCATTTAATATGTGGTTGTATTTTGCTTTTGACTTTTCTCAGGGCCTAAATGGGCAGAAGAAATATCAGATCCATCTGAAGAGCACAAGTGGTCCCATTGATGTTCTCTTAGTAAACAAAGATGCTTGGAGTTCTCCTCCTGTCGTACTACCTGTCCCTCCCCCCGACGACCTCATTCAGTGCCAGGCAGTTGCACCCTCGAAACCACAGATACCACCGCTCACCCACTTCCAGGAGGCATCTGTTCCCAGCAGCACCCAGCCCTCTACGCCGACACCTAGCAGCACTCAGGACCACAGCCCTCCCGCACAGAAAGCTGCCAGCACAGGTGAGGGGGGGGCTGCAGGAAACAGGAAAGGAGTGGTGGCTGACCTGCAGTACGTTCCTTGGCCTGGCTGGGGCTGGCACTGGTTGTGGTCAGCTCCTGGCAAAGGAGGCAACTCTGCATTTTCTTTTGTCTGGATTGGTGGGACTGGCTGTGTTAATGGAAGTAAGACACTTGGCTGGAGAGGGTGGTGTTAGCCTGCAGGAGCAGTGTGGTGGGGGAGACACTGCTCATGCAGATGAGCAGAAGTTTGTGAGAGGGTCTTTCTGAGTCTAGTGTTGAACTTTTGGGTTGAAAAAAAGACTGTCAGAAATACTACAATGGTTGGTTGTGGCTTTGTCCAGCCAAATTTTGAAAGCCTCCAGCGGTGGAGATCCCCAGCTTCCTTGGTGAGCTCTTCCAGGGCTGCAGTGCCCTCTTAGTGAATTCTTTTTCCCCTGATGTCTGGATCCTTTGAGCTGCATCTCATGCCCATTGTGCATATTACGTTGTTTGGCACCGCTGAGAAGTTCTTAATTTTTGTAACTGCCTTTCAGGTAGCTGCAAGCTGCTGTTGGATTGCCCGTAGACTTCTCTTTGCCTGACTGAACAAGCCCAGCTCCCTCCACCTCTCCATGTAGGCCATGTGCCCTAGACCCCTGGGCAACCTGGTAGTGCTCAGCTGCATCTTCTCCCCACCTTTCTTGAACAGGGGGATGGCCAGAGCTGGACACAGTATTCCAAGTGCAGTCTCAGCTGCGAGCAGGGGGTTTGTACTTCCCTCAATGTGCTGGTCACCCTTCTCCTGTGTAGCTTACTACCTGGCTTGTGTTAATTGCTGTGGGAGCTTGTTCTTGGCTTGTGTGCAGCCTGGCACCACCAAGACTGCTCTCCAGCAGAACTGCAGCAGGACCTGGGAGTTTTTGCTGGGTGAAAGCAAGAAGCCTTCTTCCTGTGTAGCTGTTTGTGCTTGGCCAGTGTTGCCAGCAAGGGTTCAGTCCGCACTGCAGCCGCTTGCTTTGGGGCTGGTGGGAGATGACGTTGCTGTGTGCTCTGTGGCTCTTTCCAGAATGTGATGTCTCGGCAGCAGAGTCCAAGAGGAGTGGGGACTTTGACCCCCTCGGCAACGCGTCCGCGTCGGCTGGCCAGCCTGGGTTAGATACCCAGCCACTCCAGTCCTCTGCCTCACTGGACAGCAGCTCCGTCCTCCCCAGCCCCTCTACCTCCTTTGAGCCGATCAAGCCCGACGCCGCAGGAAGTGAGTATGCACCCTTGTTTCATGTGTTGCTCCAAAACCATGCTGCTTGGAGCGAGGGAAAGGCTGCCGGGCCTGGAGGAGGGAGCTGAACTCCGTTCTACCTTTGCTGTCAGCCAGACTCTGCAAGGGATGAGTAGGCGTTTCCCTGTGAGGGTGCTGGGGAACCTGGTGAGAAGGTGACTGTGTCATGTCTAGTCTCCTGATGCTTTCTGTGACGTCAGTCCTCGAAAATCTGCGAGGGACGCTCGCATGACACACGTCTCTGCTGTTACGTGTAGGATTATTCCCTTTTGGTAGTGCAAGGTCCAGTTTTTGAAACTACATGAAGCTATAGAATTTCCAGCCATCACTGAGAGCACCTTTGTAACTCTTGGGGGTTTTCCCTTTATTAGGATATCTCTTGTCTCTTCTTTTCCTCCTTTGCTCAGGAATACTTCATCTGGTTTTAGTGATCTTGTGGTCTTAACGATCTCGCAGTGTATATTCGGGCAGCATTTTGGTGTGCTTGGTGAGGTGAAATGGGCTTTAAAAAAGGATCAGGATCATTTGAGCTTTATGCCAGGAAATGGCAGGCTGGCCCAAGGAGAGAAAAGCATCATCTAGGTAAGACACACTGCTTTAGTGTTTTGAAGCCTACCTTCACTGCAGAAACACTCTAGGTTAGAGGGTTATGGTTAGAAGTGGAAATATTACTCCAATGTAGCTCACACAGTGCTTTTTTCACACTTCTGCTGCTAGAGAGAAGCACGAACTGTCTGTCTTCACCTTGGAGTAGTCTTGATTGTGGGGTTAGGCCTGTGTTGTGCATACAGTGTACCGTATCCCAGTGGGCACGTGCTGATTCTCTAAAGGCACGCCCTCATCCTACATAAGAGGTGTGTACCGAAGCTGATGCCGTGTGAGGCTTACTTATAGACAGTTACTCTGTAGCTGCTGACTGTGATAACGTGTTCATGCCCCAGGGCTCCTACAGACTTAATTTAAAGTAGTCAACCGTAAGTATTGTATTTCTTATCATTTTCAGCAGAAATATGTGACATGGGGTGTGGGAGCAGAATTTCTGGATGGCACAGGACGATTTGGGTGCTTAAGGAGTACAGTAGGACTGTAGGTGATTGTGCTGTAAAGCTTTTCAGACTATTTAATGATGCAAACCATTTGGATTGTTATATTTGCAGTACTGGAACTTCCCAAAGAGCTGTCAGAGATGTTTGATCCAACAAGAGGTATGTTCACTCCCTGCCCACAGCTTTGCTCTGTGCCCATCCACCCCCAGAAGTGGGACAGCTTGTTTTATTCACTCCCTTTTGGATTATTTTGGCATCGTGGTTTTGTAAGGTGCTTGTGGTCGTTGGTGGCTGCTGGCTCTCTACTCGTAGGTAGGCACTTTTAAATTAGATTACTGGTTTCTGTATGTCTTTTTCTGCCTTCATGTTGCCAGCAACGTCTGTTAGAGTTTGCCCCACAGCGTGCAGACGAGGGCTTTCCTGTCCCCATGCCAATACTGATCTGTGCTCTGGCTTCCCATGCTCCTTCTCCATCTTGTCTGCACCACGTAAAAGAAAAATCCCTGTTAGTCCTCTTTCAGCTGTAGCCTGCCCGAGGCTAATCCAAGCAAATAATCTAGGGAGACAGTCTTCTCTCTTTGAACTACCCCTCAGTGCTTTTGGTGGTGCTAGTAATTTTGGAGCAGTAGGGGAGGAGATGCTGTTCCTTGTGTTAGGAGTTCTGCCTCTGCCCCAGGAATGTCTGGCTATTGCTGCCTAATGGTGGGACAGACTCTGGGCTAAGGGCAGGAGAGGGGAAGGAGTTCGGTCCTACGTTAGGAAACTCTTTTTATCTGTGTATTTATTTCTCTTCAATGCTGGCAGAATACTTCCTAGCCCCACAGCCAGGCAGAGCCAAGTACACACAAGCACTTTTGTGGTGGTGACAGGATGTGTACAACAACAGTCCCTCGTTCTGCGCTCTGGCAGGTGCTTTGTGTAGGCGCTGCCTTTGTGTAAAACCCCCCAGTCCCAAATACACGTGTGAGCCTCTCATCTGTGTGTTAGGAGCTGCAATCAGCCTGGAGAACACCTTTCCTCCTTGCCCAGCGCCCACTGCTGTAGATAGTAGCTGAAGTCTTGGTAATGACCGAGTAAATTTGACTTTGCAACATGAGATACAAACTGCTGCGAGGCCCCAGCCTGAGTAGAAGATCAGCTTAACCCAAACTGTGGCTATGTGGACACTATTAAAAAGGAGATGTTTGCTGTCTCTGGTAATATATGGTGTTTCATCTTGCCAATTTGGAGGGTGAAGGTAGAGATCCAGGAGCGAAGGACAATGCAACATTGCAAAGTCAGATTTTTAACTGTGATCCACTATTGAGTTGCGAACGAAAGCAGCATTCTGCAAAACAGTCGACAGCTGCTGAGGCAAAGCTCAGGACTGTGGAAAAAAGAAAAAGCAACACTGCAGAGCTCAGAGAAATGGGCCTTGCAGCATGCTCCATGCAGCCTCTTTCATCCCCGTGTGATCCCAGTAATGTTCCCCTGGCACTGGTGGCTGCTTCAAGGCTATGCAGTTTAAGCTGCAAGAGCCTAGACTTCTTCCTTGGTGTTTTGTGTTGGAATTACTTTTTCTGCATGGCTTTCTCTCTCTTTTACGTGGGTGCTTGATAACTGCTTGTTTTAGACTCGTATCCTGGAAAAAACCTGAATGTCAACGCACACACACGTACACACCCTGCTATATTACCAGCCCTGATCTAAGAATGCAGGTTCTGCAATGAGTTGCTATTTATTGAAGCTGGTATTAGTCCTGTCTAGTCGCTTAGTGTTGAAATTATCTCATCTCATGACGCTGAATTAAGCAGGTAGGCTCCTGTCCTCTAGGAGACAGCCTGCTGTGGGTAAGTGTCTTGAAAATGGGCTGATCCAAGTTTCTTTTGTGAAAGCTTATTTCAGTTGTGGGTAATATCTCATCAGCCCAGTTAGACTGAGTTAGATAGTCACTATCTTAACTTGGTGAAGTGAGAGTAGTATTCAGAAAGTTGTTTTCAAACACTTAGTTTCTTACAGAAAAAGGATTGACTTGCACGTGCTTTGTCCGTGTGCTTGTCTGTCTGTTCAGGTGCCTCATGAGCCTGCTAGCCAAGAGTAACAATGCTGGAGGAAGGAGTGACGTTTCAGGGTGTCTAAGAGGGAGAAATATTTTCTTTTTTCCAGTTTTGTGTGAGCAGTAGAGGGGAGAGCAGAGTGAATGGCCCATTAAGGGAGGATATGCAGAGCTCAGGTGTTCATTCTGTTTGGCAGCAGGCAGCCAGCAAATCTGCCAGGGCCTGTGGCTGGATTAGCCACAGCACAGCCGTGGGCCAAGGGGAGCAAATTAGGGGGACAAAGGACACAAATCTGGAGGTTCTACTGCTCCTGGAACAGCTCATTTGTTTTTTGATTTTTCCCCCCACTCTTAGCAAAGTTGGTGGGTAATTGAGGACTGTGAATATGTCAGGCTTTTTCAGCTCCAGAAGAGTTTCTTTTGGAGGAGTTTGCATTCCAGCGCAGCGCTGAGGCACAGCCCGGCATCGTAAGGAGACTGGCCTGTGGTTGAACTAAAGCAGGGGAAAACCTCCTGCAGAATTTTTGGATTGAATTGTCTGATACCTATTTCCCTTTGCCCATGGCAGGAGCCTCCTTTGGCCACTGCCTGCTGCACACGCTGTGCCTTAGCAAGAGAAAGGGATAACAAGGGTGAGGAGCACCCTGGGAAGGGTGGGGAACTGCACTGGAGCAGAGCAGGAAAGCAGAGCGTGTTGCTTAACCATGCTTCTCTTTTCCCCAGAATGTATGAACTCTGAGCTGCTGGAAGAGCTGATGTCATCTGAAGGTGAGTCTTTGAGTCTCCCCCTCATGCTGTGGCCTTTCCAGGGGAGGAAGACCATGCTGTGTGACTTTACCCAGCTGACAGCCTTGTGATTGCAGGCTCACCCTCATCTTTTCTGGGCTCTGGACACAGACTCAGTTCTTACTGTCCTGCCAGTCCCTGAGAGAGGTGTGAGAACCAGGAGAGCCTGGCTCTTCCTCATTGCAAGGCTGATTTGAAGCAACCTCCAAGACTGTTCCTGGGAGGTGGCCTCCTCATGGCTCCGCAGCTCAGTGCCCGTTGGCAGCTCTTGGCTCAGTGCGGGAGTGCTGAGTTTTGTAACCAGCCGTCGGCTTCTCTTTCCCCAGTGTTTGCTCCCTTGCTCCGCCTCTCCCCTCCCCCTGGAGATCACGACTACATCTACAACCTGGATGAGAGCGAAGGCGTCTGTGACCTCTTTGACGTGCCTGTCCTCGACCTCTGACTTATCAGTGCGGCTGTGAGCCTCGCAAACACAGACCGTTTTGTAACTCTTTGGAAAGTGTCTATTTTTGGATTCCTTTTGTGCTAGAGCTCGATGAGTGAGCGATTCAGAGATGCTCTTGTATGGACTCAGAACCAAGAGATGTGGACTTGCAGGCCGGGACCCTCCCCCATAGCTTCTTCCTCTGTTGCACGTGCAAGGTGCGTGTGCAACTCGCCCCACCTCATCTCTCTCTCCACTGGATCCTGGGCCTCACTTCAAAGTGTCTGTGTTTTGAGTGTTCCCAGTTCACCCGTAGAGTTTGCCCATGTGCCTCTCCGAGCTTCCTCAAATCTGCATGCCTTGGTTTTTCCTGCACTCCTAGAGGCACTTTGCACCTCCTAGGTACCAGCTGCTACAAAGGAGCCCTGATGTCGTGGTCAGTTCACAAGCCCGGAGGTAGTTAGCTAGGTTTCGCAATGTGAGCGTTCAGATTGGGGTGGTTATGTCTGAATGACAACAAGGGGAAAAAAAAAACCCTGGCACCGAAGTGCCATTTCTTCCAGTGACTCCAGACCAAGCTAGTATGTTTTACAAGAAAAAGCACTTTTTTTAGCCAGCTGTGCCTCCCAGTGGGACTCGGGAGCTGAGTCTTTCCCTGCTTGTGCAGCAGCAAGAAGGCTGGTTCTGCGTTCACCCATCTGCTGATGCACGAGCCCAGGGGCTCCAGCTCCTTGTACAGCAGCTGTGCTGTTTCTATAGGGCTAAAGAAGAGGTGCCAGTATGTTTTTTTAATATTTTTATTTGTTTTTGCTGGAGTGAAGAGATGTTTGAAAGGATAAGACTGCTCCAGCTGGTGCCTGTAAGGTACTCCAGGTACATCACAGTCTGCTCGTATTTGCAAATAGCTGTCTTTTCCAACCATTGCACTTGAGCCTTCAACTGTCTAAAAGGCGACCAAGGAATAATAATTCAGTAGTACTTTGCTGTGACAAGTTATGTAGGTGTTGTCAAAATAGTGCTTTTTATTTGCCCCCGCCTTTCTCTCTCGGCATCTGCTCAGGATTGGGCTTTCTGTATATTTGAATTTGCTCCTCTAGTGTCCGTACCCACACTCCCAATTCCTGATCCTGTGGCAGGTCGCTACATAGTGTGATGCTTTCTCTGCATCATTTTTCCGCAACATTTTCTTCACTGCTTTCTTCAAACCTCCTTCCACTGTAATGGAAGGTCTGCTGTTGGGTTCGTTAGGGCCATCGGTCTGGACCCTAGGCAGTTTAATTGGAGTAAAACGCCCTGATGGATTTGTGTTGTATTTTGCAAACCCCAACTTTGGTTTTCAGTCAGATCTTGTATTTGAGTGGCTTCAGTTTTGCACATCTTCCTGCCAGTGCAGTGGTAG